AATAGGCTTGATTAGTTCTATTGTTCACAGAGGGTCATGTGCCCCATCATCTGGCCCATGTCGTTGTTATGTTTATGTAGTGAATGCAAGCGGGCGTTCAAAGTCCCCTTGTTTTTGTCCCTCTTTCCCTCTTTGTATTGGGTACCCACAAAGAGGGAAAGAGGGACAAAAACAAGGGAACTCTTTGTGTTGGGTACCCACAAAGAGGGAAAGAGGGATAAAAACAAGGGAACTCTTTGTGTTGGGTACCCACAAAGAGGGAAAGAGGGACAAAAACAAGGGAACTCTTTGTGTTGGGTACCCACAAAGAGGGAAAGAGGGAAAAAAACAAGGGGACGTTGAACCCCCGCTTACATTCACTACATACACATAACACGACATGGGCCAGATGATGGGGCACATGACCCTCTGTGAACAATAGAACTAATCAAGCCTATTATTAGGCGATGGCCCTATTTTGCATATGATTAACCTGTTTGTCCACCATGTGGAGGCAGTGCTTATAAGGCTGAGTTCACCTGAAACTCATCAGACTGAAGAGGTCTCTTGGAGCAGAGACGAAACGTTTCCCTAAAGAAGAACCCATCCAGAGGACCTACTTATTTTTTTCTTTTTTTCTACCTGGAGATGCATCAGAATAGTATGAAAAATTGCTGGTGTGAAGACAAAAAAGATCAAATTGCCGGTGTGGGCTTCTGTGTTATACCTGAGCCTCTATTTCCCGCGTTGGACAAAAGAGAAAAAGGGCTGACTCCTAAAGTGGTGAGAGGTTTCTTTTTCCATCTCCCAGCTTGTTTCTGTCACTGCTGTCAACAGCCACTTTAAGTCACTGAGAGGATACGGCTCCATCTACCTGTGTTTTAGCACATCTCACACTGCACTGCACTCAGCACACACACACACACACACACACACACACACACACACAGAGGGGAGAAAGTGTATTGGTTGAAGGTCATTAATTAGCTACAGAGAAAAAAAAATAGTGGACTGAGTGACCTGAAAAAGGTGGGTCAGTTAAAGGGAAGAAGAGAGACAGGCATGATTCCTCTGAGGAAATAACAATGATAGTTCCCGAAAGATAAATTATTTAAGGAGTGCATTGATGCTTTTATGCAGGAGGAGCTAAGATAACATCCATAACTTCATTCATGAAAAAAGGGAGGAATGGAAAAAGGATGAGAGGGCAAAGGGGGACAACAGGGCTGTTGCTAGGGAAAATTCACCTCCTATAAAGTCTCCTTGAATCCCTCAATCCTAGGCAGCCATTGTCTCACAAATGTGGATTTACTTGAAGCATTTATTTTTTAAACTTTGTTCAAGTTTTTTAATTCAAACTGAATAAAACTTATTTTCTTGCTTTATTTGTTCCATGTAAAATTTTAGCATTCCTTGAAAAAGTGCACATGTCCCACCTTTTATGCCAGAATTTTGGGTCAAGATTACCCTAAGTTAAGAAACAATGTGACTGACTGATAAGCCTTTTGGTCAAACCTTGAAAACAATATGTATCATTCAACTATAACACTCTATGTGTTATTAATGAGTTATTATTATACTTATTAATGATTATCAGATGCTACTATGACATATTTAAACCTGTAAAATAAACTGAGTTACAGCCATTTTTGTGGTGGTTAAGGTTGATTAGCCATGGTAGCCATCTTGAATTGGATTAACTCATCCAGTGATGCAATTTTGTTATGTGTCGTTGAAATTCATCAAGTAGCTCGTTATGTGTTGTAAATGACTCAGCTACAACCACAACAAATTTTCATACAATATCTATAAATTTCACTGAATTATAGAAATTGTGTTTATGGTGATTTCACTACAATGGCCATCTAAATAAGGCTGGATCCAAATGTTAATCATTTTTAGAGATACAGCCAAAGATTGTTTCTTGAACATTTCTCTGAAATCCACTCTGTCGATCATGAGATATTTTGTTAACAAACCAACACAGTTGACTTCAAAATTGACGACAATTTTAAACGTGTTAGTGCTCAGAATGTTTTGGGATCAACTATCAGTTATTACAATGAGGTCAATAGTATCTATAAAACTAAGTTATAGACATTTTTTTGTGTTAAGGTCAGTTGGATGTGGCAGCCATATTGAATCAAATTAACTTTAATATTTCATTGGTTGTAGATGTGCATCCAATGATTAATTCATGTAAGTTTCAGTAAAATTGGTCCTGTATTTGTTGAGGTATTTTGTTAACACTGCGGACAAAAACACACAGAGGGGTAAAACCAGTGAAGCTTTCATCTTCAGGTGAAAAATGTTTAAAGTAATGTGTAAAAAGTCTTTGTTTTTGGTTTGAAACACTTATTTGTTGCTTGCATAAAAACTGGACATAGATGTGACCTTTTAGTCCTACTGCACACACATGAACACACCAAAACTTGTTTTTTAGCATCTTAAGATGACAAATTCTTTTGAGCTGACAGGAAACAGTCCAGTCCATACTGTCTACTCTCTCCTTCTGCAGTAACACACACACACACACACACACACACACACACACACACACACACACACACACACAC